AAAGCTATGACTCTGGCACCATTCACAACTGGCATTTCTTAGGCTCTCCTGACTCAGGACTCCTGGTCTCCACCGTTCCCCTACCACAAGAGCCAGCCCTCTCACATTTTGGTTTTCAGAACCAGTTCTGTGTCACGTATGACATTATGGAAACCAGATAACGCTACTCCTATGAGGAAAGCTCTTTTATGATTGCAATTTACAGTGGAGGAAACTGAGGCTCAGAGAGGTTCAGTGACCTTTCTGAGGCCACACAGCCAGCAAGCCACAGAAATGGGTTTCAAAACAGGTCTGAGAGCCAACAGTTTCTGTTTCTACCCACCGGGTGGCCGTTCCATTCTCACTCAAGGGACACCCTTTTTCTTTGTGACCCAAATCCCTGACAGTGGAAGAGGGCCCTGTGAGTTTAGTCTGTCATGAAAGAGACTGAAAATTGCCTGCATTTCTTGGACACCTGCGCTTGATGTCAGTTACCCCACCTCCCCCACGGCTGGGAGGCCAGTGGACCCTTTAATGCACAGCCTGGCTCAGCGGGTGGTGGTGAAGTTTCTCTTCCCCCTGTAAATACATCACCGGCCAACCACAGGTGCCACACTAAATCAGCTCTCTTTAACCCTGAAGGAAACACTTTGTTTTCTCCCAACCTCTGTGCCTACCTCTGTCAGCACGTCCTGGGCGTGGTAGGAGAGACGACCCATCCTGCAGTCAAACAAGCCACTAGTGCAAAGAAATAGCCTCTTCTCTGAGTTGGTTTATGGATTAGACAACCCAGGAAGCCACAAACCAACGTGCCAAGTTAGAATTTCCAATTCAATTAGCTTTGAGATTGTCTGAAGTCTTCCATTGTCTTAATGTTCAAGTTTAAGCACTGAGTTTGGAAAGGACGTGGCCTGGGGACAACGAGATGCTGTTTCGGCGAAACGGGATGTATTGGACCACCCAGAAAATTGGATGGGACATTCAAGACCCTGCACAGTGCCTGGACTCCCTCTGACCGCTCCCTCCTTCCGCCCACCGCACAAGACATCCTTTACTCGTCCAGCCTCCAAATCTCTGCTCATGTTGCGCTTCCTGCCTGAAATATCTTTTATTTCTCGCCAACTTCTCCTCCAACCACTCAAGGCCAACTCATCTTTGGAACCAGCTCAAATACATGCTTCCTCCTCAAGGTTATTTCCTGACTTCCCTGATCAAAGCTACCCCCTCTTTGCTCCTGTAGTAGCTGGCACACTGAACACACCAGTCAGGCACTGACTCAAGTGTATTTAATAATCTATTTGCAGTCAACATGGCCCAGTTTTCACCTACTGAACTGAATGGATGATGGATCGAATTGTCATGGGCGATTTGAGCCAGGAGCAATTGACCCTTGTGCACCCTGCCATCAAAGCCAGCCTGCTGGCTAGGCAAACCCCACTCTGTTTACACACCTGTCTTTGAGCTCAACTGGGAGCAGCCTAAGAGTGGGGCTTGTCTTTCCCTGTATTCCATGCTCCTGGCACTCAGTAAGTGCTCAGTAAATGGTGGTGAGTACACGGAGGATTTACCCCGGCTCTCTCGTTACCTTCCCATGCCCCTTAAACAAGCCCCTCTCACCTTCTGAGTTTCAGTTTTCCCATCTGAAAAGTGAAAGTGTGGACTAGCTATGGTCGGAATGCTTATGCACTGCCCTCAAATTCATACGTTGAAGCCCTAACCCCAGTGTGATGGTGTTAGG